GGTAAATATACAACATGCCAGCCCCTCTCTCCACTCACCTCGTTGAAGCGGGGGAGGGGAGGGCAGGGCACGCCATCTTTGTGATCATCACAACAGGGGGGTCGTATTTGCCCGCGATGGAGGGGGGGGGTCGTAAACGCATGGCCCATGTTGAAGTGGAGAGAGCGGTGATACACGGTACAAGTGAAAAGAAGCTCAAAAGGGACGATGTAGATGACAATAAATAGAACTAGGCACTATCGAACTATTCCTAGGCCAAGAACTAAAAAAATATTGCTGAAACTTTTTCCTCCTTCCTCACAAAAAACTTCGCCCACCAACCCTCCTCATCTGGTCTAGATAAATCCCAATCCACTAATCCGCAAAATCTAGAAAAGAATCCATTGCAAAAGCTACCTATGAAACCGTAGAAATTGAATCCTGAGCAATTTCCTCACAACAAAATCAAAACAAAACAAAATCAAACTTAACAAAAACAAACAATCAAAGTAATTCACTATCAAATGGATAAGAAAAAAATATGGATTACTTTTGAATTTTGGCTGTTCGCGGTCAGCGCGCTCATACAAGCTCATTGGTGCGCGCTATTTTACGGCCTGGAGCCAATTTCAAGCCAAACACGTGAAAAGTACCCCTCATTTGAACACCCATAACTTCGTTGAAAGTGAAGCTATCGGAGAGGGGTAAGTGGGAATGAGTAGAGCTAGGTTGGCTCTTGTCAACTAAATGAGCGATTTCAAAAAACATTCCGATTCAGATTGTGGGATGTGCTGTGATCATCTTTGTGATCCGTCTGTGATCATTTTTGCGAACCGCGAGTCGCTACGATTTGGACGTCCATGGCAAGCTTCATACACGGCCTTTCGTAAAAAAAAAGACGGGAAGATTTCTACTTTCCAGCGAGGCTTTAATTTTCTCCCTAGGCCTACTATTCGAAAAATTCCCTGTTGTGATCATTTCGTGCTCACCCCCACGACACGAAAAATCATCCCTACGAGGCTAGGAAACCTCCAGCTGGCTT